TGGGTCGTTTTCTTGCCATGATCTTAATCTATCTGGCAACATTTCTCTTGGTCCTCCTCTGTCTCTTCTCCAACTGATCTTTTCAGTCACCAAAATGTTCTCTAATGCCTTTAACTTTATTTACCCCGTCTTATATGGCAAAAGAACACAACTGATCTCTTTCTCACAGAAATAAATACTGTCAATAGTATCCTCAAAGCAATAATTTTTGGTTATTTTGGTTGTTCATGATTTTTGCAGAATTTGTTTTAGAAACCATTTGTACACTGCCTCCAAGCCCTTTCTTTTTCACTGATTCACATTCCAAGATACTCCTCAGTATAGAATAAAAGGTTCACAGTAAAGTTTCATTACCTGCTTTCTGACATTTAATCAAAGTATTACAAAGATCTAATGGAAGCAGTACATGATACTCTGGCATCTTCTGAGCAGCATCTTTTGCTCTGCTACTTCTGCTCCTAATCTCTATCACAAATCTTCCATCTGACTATATAAGTGTCCAAAATATTTGAATTTATGGACTTTGTTTAGCAGTTTTCTTTCTTTTGTAATATTCTATTTTGGTGTTTTGGGCTTTTTTAAAAATGTAACCACTGCCTATGTTTGGTTTAAATTCAAGGGTAACACTTTTGTGTGTGTGTGCACTCCTGATTATGCCCAAAAAGTCTTTGAAGACAACTTGTGATTTCAACTATCAATATTTGCAGTCTGCATAACTGATTGTTTTTAGTAAAATTTTCAGCTGGTGTTCCAGCTCCATATGTGGTCTTTGTCATTATTAGTTTATTATAGAAACAGTGGAAATCTAGTGATAAAACACATCATAGTTTACTCCTTGCTTTATCTGTTCATAGTTGTCCATACTGAATGAGACAGTACGTACTGTGGCAGGGTTGACAGAAATGTGCATCTAGTACAGATATGACAACCATTTAAAACTGCAACAGAGTTGGCAGCCATGTGAAGATGTAAAAGAGGTTGGCCACCTCATGAGGCTATGGAAAAGCTGACAACCTGTAAGAGCAACAAGCTACAATAACAACTATGGCACAGGAGCATGAACAATGGACACACACGCTCCTGATGTAGAACCTTCTGCAGCCCTGTCTTGTGGCAGTGATGGTTCCTTGTTAGAGAAAACATTATAAAGGTGCTGTAGGTAATGGTGATGATGATGATGATAATAAAACAATCATGTTTGAACTGGAATACAACATAAGCTTAATGAAACATGGATAAAACAATCATGTTGGAACCAGAATACTACATAAGCTTAATGAAACATGGATAAAACAATCATGGTGGAACTGGAATACAACATAAGCTTAATGAGATCAAAACAATCATGGTGGAACCAGAATACAACATAAGCCTAATGGAACATGGATAAAACAATCAAGGTGGAACTGGAATACAACATAAGCTTAATGAAACATGGATAAAACAATCATGGTGGAACCAGAATACAACATAAGCTTAATGAAACATGGATAAAACAATCATGGTGGAACTGGAATACAACATAAGCTTAATGAAACATGGATAAAACAATCATGGTGGAACCAGAATACAACATAAGCTTAATGAAACATGGATAAAACAATCATGGTGGAACTGGAATACAACATAATCTTAATAAAACATGGATAAAACAATCATGGTGGAACCAGAATACAACATAAGCTTAATGAAACATGGATAAAACAATCATGGTGGAACTGGAATACAACATAATCTTAATGAAACATGGATAAAACAATCATGGTGGAACTGGAATACAACATAATCTTAATGAAACATGGATAAAACAATCATGGTGGAACCAGAATACAACATAAGCTTAATGAAACATGGATAAAACAATCATGGTGGAACTGGAATACAACATAAGCTTAATGGAACATGGATAAAACAATCATGGTGGAACTGGAATACAACATAATCTTAATAAAACATGGATAAAACAATCAAAGGAACTGTAACTGTAAAAGCCATGCTCCGTTTCCACGATGAGACACCTGCCAAAGATAACAGAACAAGACTTCAATTATTATTCCATTGATGTTAGACCACGTTTTACCGAAGAGTATTAGTTATTTATTTATAAAGAGCAGCAATAGCATAACAGTTAGACTCTCATCTGCAAGACCAAAGGTCTAGTGTTCAAGTCTTCCCTGCAGCAAATTCTTTCCGTAAAAATTGACCTTGGTTTCCAAGTCTACCTAGCTTACCATAGGTACCAGGTAATGTCCTAGTGTAAAGTACGAGTGTTAAACTAAGTTCAACTCCGGTGTTAATCATAAGTAGAATTTAACAGGTTGATTTACTGTCTACAGCTTTACCTTTAGTTAATTGATCATAAAATCGCAACATTCAGCTAGACGAGTAGAATGGCCAACATGATTACTTACTGATTTATTTCTCATATGTTCAAATCTACATTTAGGCAGTTTTTTTTTAAAACTGACCCCGTTCTCTAGTCCTAAAACAGGTACCTAAAATGTGCTGGGGCGGGTAAAGGTGGCCAAAGTTGTAAAGAAGACCTCTTGCCGACTGCTGACTGGTCTATTCAAATATGAGCATGTCCAATATATCAGAAAGCACCAACAAGAAAATGAAAACACTCCGGTAGACTGAAGTATTAGATGCTGTCAAATATGAAAGGTTGAAGCTGAAAATTTCAGATGCGCAACATAAAAGAAAAAACTGTAAATTGTTAGGGTTTGCTAAACACAATTAAAGTTGATTGTTTAAACTGAAATGTAAATTCGCCAAATTTGTACTCATAATCTATAATATTGAATATTATGTACTTTTAAAAGATTCACTTATTTGCTCCACTTATGTAATTGTTACTGTAGTAAGCACCTGATGAGATACAACGAAATATGTCAGGCAGTAAATTGTGTAATCTATTGTTTGTGTCTTTTTGGCTCCAATTCACAAGGGATAAGCATTGCTTTGATAATTAAATTACCCAATGACCATCATGTAACATGTCACTAAAGCATTGGCAGTGATGATTTTCCATGTTCTTCATGTTATTCTGTCCACCGATAAAAAGCTGGTTTGTACATTAAGATGTGGTTTACAGCTAGGCTGTGATGTCTGTGCAGGTGCTTCTGTATATAGGTCCTTCTGACTAAATCACGTGATATTTTGGTGAAATCCTCTCGAAAATTGGTTACTGCAAGCCGTTTTCATGTGTTGAATTTTGTGACATTTTAACGTGCTTACAAAGTCATGTGTTCTGAACGTATTCGTATTCCAAATCAACAAGTGGATAATGTGAAGTGGATATAGAGGATTTTCAAACTTTGCTGTTAGATTACAGCAACTTGAATTTAAATTCACATGAGACAGTCGTGTTGTGATGTGTGTGTCACTGTGTCTAGTAAGTAGTTTGGACTTTTTTGAACTAGCTGTTTATTCTTTTTTTTTTTTTTTTTGCTTTGAATGTGGAAATCTTACTTTTGGGGTAATACAAACAGGTAATTTAGAAGCCTGATCTGTAGAATATCGTCAATTGTCAGGTGCAAACTATCTTGTGTTGGAAGAAAACTATTGCTTTCATATTGACTGAGCATAAATGGTGCAACTACACTGTGAACAAATTGTGTCAAGATATTTCAGAGCTCTGGGTAAGTGGATAAAAACAATATTTTATTTACTAACTAACCTCTCACAGCAAGTCACTCTTTGCCTCTTTACTAGTTGTTGACTAACAGTATAATTATATGTTGTAGAAGTACACTAATAATATCAATCCTCAACCATTTGTGTTTATTTTTGTGAATGGTCTTCTGCTTCACAATTACTAGCTGTCAACTCTGGCAGAAACTTCTTGTTCTTCATCTACTTCTGGGCTTTAGTCTTGTTCCACACACTGTTTTGAACAACAAGACCCGGTATTTATGTAGGGAATTTGTGTGTTTGATATGTGTATGTTGCACAGCATTTGCAGTTATATGATCTGTTTTTAACATTAAGATCGGCACAGCAAAAAACGAGACGCACACCAGCTACGCCAGAAGACTTGTTAATCAACATAGAACTGGTACTATTAGCCATCGGACGTTGGGGTTCATACTGACGGGAGGATCTGAGCACCTATGGACATTTTCGGAGTGCAATGAGGATAACCCAACTAACTAACTAACTAACTAACTAACTAATGATCTGTTTTAACGTGCTTCACTTACCTTCAAAATATTATACCATTCATGATACTTATATGCCTTTTAGCATGCAGTATTCAGAAATATGTGTGATGTATTTTTCAACAGTATAATAAGTATTCAATAGTGCTACAAGTACTGTTAGGAAAACTGTTGTGGGTGAAAAATTATTGAACATATTAATTTCATATTGACTGTGCTTGTTTACTAATTATTAACTAACAGTATAATTATATGTTGTAGTAGTCTACTAATAGTAATAATAACCATCAATAATTTATTTTTATGTTATGTATGATATGTGTGTACTTCACAGCAGTATTTTCATGTGGTAAATTTGATAAAGTAAAAATGTCAACGCCCCCCCCCCCTTCCCCGGTCCTTTAATGCAATGCCTTCTCAGAATCAAAGAGTTTGCACTAATATTTCTTTACTTTTGCTGGAATAACTTCCAGTTAATATCTACACGCTATTGATGTTTATGTTCATGTTGACTGTAGCAAAAGCACTTTTGTTTGTCTGTAAGAACGTTTAATTTTATATTTTAATAGCACACTTATTTAACTTCAAAATGACACATATTTCTATAAAATATGCCGCAAATTAATGAAACTGTAGTTTAATTGTATATACATCTCCTGGATAAAAACTCTGAACACAGAAGGACTCCTTACTTGCACAAGAACGGGAATTCCCGTTGGCCCAGTTGGCCTATAAATAGAGAAGGCCGTGGTCTGTGCTATCTCAGATACCATTTTCAGCAAAAACTTAAAATAGAAGAAGAAAGAAGAAGAGGAAAAAATCTACCTATAACACCCTCACCATTTCTCCACATTCTCAGGTCATAGCGAACGTTGCCTCCTCGCATCAGACTGATGTCCAAGCAGTCGATCTCATCACTGCCGTCGTGACACTGCACCACCGTGTCACACTTCTGGGTCACAGGCACGCACATCTTTTGGCTGATACATGTGAAGTTGTGCCAGTCTCTGCACTGCGTCATGTTAAAGTGTTTCGGCAGAGCTGTGTATAGAAACGAATACGACACACAATTACCGCTTTGATTCATAGCTGAACAGTTGCCGAGGGAACCTCAAAACTAAACAGTTGCCGGCGACCCTAGGAACGAGTCACAGACCAGATTTTAACAGACCAATTTCCGATCTCCTGTCTCGTCATACCAATCTTCAGTGAGTGTCGTCTGGTCTATAAAACGTTTAATACAGCACCATATATCCCACGCACCACTAATGTCAGTTGGGTCCTTTACTCATTTTTGAAAGAGCAGTCACTAGTAGAGAGCAACAGTGCACTGTGAATCACGTGCTCATTGTATATACTAACTGACAGTCGACCCTCTTCTACCTTAGGGTGTAGAGTTTCGTCAGATCGACAGACTTCTCTATCAGCAGTTTTCTTTCTGGCTTTGCTCCATTTCAGTGTTCTGTCATTCAGGGACTGCTGGACGTTGTCTTCCCAGCGAACCCTATGTCAGCCTGATGGTCCCTTTTTTGTGTATATACAGAGAAATCCTGGATCTTATCTCTGGTTTTCTCTCCCAGAGGAGAAAATGACTTTTGCTAATGGCTTGAGAAATTCGCTTTTAAAATATAGAAATTCGAGAAAACAATCTTATGTTCCGAAACAGATTCAACAGATTGTGGTATGTCGTGTTAAACAAGACAAGTTTTCCACCCACCCCAATTCCAAGAAAATTCTAGAAATTGTTTGCTACCCATTTTTATGAAGCCCGGTCGATTCTAAACGTTTACTGATAGTGGGGAACGGAATGGCACTGTGACCTTTCCGAGTCATTGTGAGTGCAACTACCCCTGATCCACAACAATGGCACTGTGACCTTTCCGAGTCATTGTGAGTGCAACTACCCCTGATCCACAACAATGGCACTGTGACCTTTCCGAGTCATTGTGAGTGTAACTACCCCTGATCCACAACAATGGCACTGTGACCTTTCCGAGTCACTGTGAGTGTAACTACCCCTGATCCACAACAATGGCACTGTGACCTTTCCGAGTCATTGTGAGTGTAACTACCCCTGATCCACAACAATGGCACTGTGACCTTTCCGAGTCATTGTGAGTGTAACTACCCCTGATCCACAACAATGGCACTGTGACCTTTCCGAGTCATTGTGAGTGTAACTACCCCTGATCCACAACAATGGCACTGTGACCTTTCCGAGTCATTGTGAGTGTAACTACCCCTGATCCACAACAATGGCACTGTGACCTTTCCGAGTCATTGTGAGTGTAACTACCCCTGATCCACAACAATGGCACTGTGACCTTTCCGAGTCATTGTGAGTGTAACTACCCCTGATCCACAACAATGGCACTGTGACCTTTCCGAGTCATTGTGAGTGTAACTACCCCTGATCCACAACAATGGCACTGTGACCTTTCCGAGTCATTGTGAGTGTAACTACCCCTGATCCACAACAATGGCACTGTGACCTTTCCGAGTCACTGTGAGTGTAACTACCCCTGATCCACAACAATGGCACTGTGACCTTTCCGAGTCATTGTGAGTGTAACTACCCCTGATCCACAACAATGGCACTGTGACTTTTCCGAGTCATTGTGAGTGTAACTACCCCTGATCCACAACAATGGCACTGTGACCTTTCCGAGTCATTGTGAGTGTAACTACCCCTGATCCACAACAATGGCACTGTGACCTTTCCGAGTCATTGTGAGTGTAACTACCCCTGATCCACAACAATGGCACTGTGACCTTTCCGAGTCATTGTGAGTGTAACTACCCCTGATCCACAACAATGGCACTGTGACCTTTCCGAGTCATTGTGAGTGTAACTACCCCTGATCCACAACAATGGCACTGTGACCTTTCCGAGTCACTGTGAGTGTAACTACCCCTGATCCACAACAATGGCACTGTGACCTTTCCGAGTCATTGTGAGTGTAACTACCCCCTGATCCACAACAATGGCACTGTGACCTTTCCGAGTCATTGTGAGTGTAACTACCCCTGATCCACAACAATGGCACTGTGACCTTTCCGAGTCATTGTGAGTGTAACTACCCCTGATCCACAACAATGGCACTGTGACCTTTCCGAGTCATTGTGAGTGTAACTACCCCTGATCCACAACAATGGCACCATAAGGATGATTATTAATCTGTACTGTGTCGAGACACACACACACACACACACACACACACACACGCACGCACGCACGCACGCACGCGCACGCACGCACACACACACACACACACACACAAACTGCACAGACATTAGCAAATCTACAAAGCAAACATAAAGGCAGACGCAAACAACGGAAAACGAGAAATCACAGCTCAACAGTATTTCTACCAGCACTGTGCTAACAGAGCCAAAGGTGGACGTTGACAGCAAAACCAACAAGAAAACTAGAAGCAATAATGCAATATTTATAACGAACTAAACAAGTGACAAAAAGACAGGACCAGAAACGACGACATGGAGTTAGGGAACTAAGCTTTGGCAAAATTTCCGCAGGTTAAAAGCACGACTGGCTGAGTGAAAGCTAAAGTCGGACGCGGTTTAAAGATACATTGACTGTCACAGGACAGTGCATTAAATACAACACTGTCACGCTACTACAAGGGAACCAGAGCTAGAGCTAGTTCACGCAAGCAATAGATAGAAGAATTAGGTCAAGTCGCTGACGCAAGCGATAGAGAGAAGGATTATGTGAGGTTTTTCAAGCAAGCGATAGACAGAAGGATTGAGTAAAATCGTAAATAGCAGCATCTACGCAGCATACAATTTTCGCACGGGATACCTCTTCAAAATCTGACTCTAAAATATAAACTAAGTACTGAAAAACATTTTCCGTATGGGCCTAAGAAATACTATGGGGAAGAAGGATAATGAAAAAGAAGAAGAAGAAGAAGAAGAAGAAGAAGAAGAAGAAGAAGAAGAAGAAGAAGAAGAAGAAGAAGAAGAAGAAGATGATGATGATGATGATGATGATGATGAAAACTGAATTTGAATAAAAAGAAGAAGAAGGAGAGGAGGAGGTGAAGAAGGAGAAAGAGAAGCACAACAACAACAATAAGAATGGTGTATCGTAAGACTCATACGTGCAATTTTGTGGCTTAGAAGTTAGTAAAAGCATGTCACAGTTATTGACTTAAAAGGGTTGAATTTTAGTTGCTGACAGATAGCCGTTCAGAAGACTTCCAGACAGACAGATGTACGAGAGTTGTGCTGCAGAAGTGATTGGGGCAAAACTATATAATACTCTCCAAGACGGCAGTGGGTACACATAACAACCGAAGCCAACCTCCTTTGTGGAGGCGACACCCGTTTTTGTTCAGGCCCCGGCAGGCTTAGTCTAACTCCACATAAACAATAACGGTTTCATTCTGAATATATTAAGTTGACAACTTTATCGGACAGAAACAGAATTAACAACTGGGGGAGAATGTTGAACTGGATATTAAGAGATGTTGATACATAAAAGATCCCGTCGTATTTCGTTGATACAAAGACAATCACATAAGAAAATCTGCAGAAAGTCGGAATGAACAATGATTTGTTAATGAACATTCCAAACGTAAGTAAATATATGAATATATATATATATATATATATATATATATATATATATATATATATATATATATATATATATACATATATACACACACACGCGCACGCACACACACACACACACACACACACACACACACACACACACACAAGCTACAGAGATAAGCTATAACATGACCTTCTTCCTCTTTGCTTTCGGTTTCGCATGTTCAAATCAGACTATCAGTTGGTTGTCTCTATGAATTCACATGTCAGTAGTAGGTCCTTCATGGTTCCCCATAGCTTGCTCTGCACCCTTGTCTCTTGAGGCCAGGTGTGTTTTCGAAGTTGTTGGTAGAGTGGGCAGGTCTGCAGAATGTGCCCAGGTGTCAGTTTGACATGCACACTGTGGGGACTGTATTCTTTATTTTATGCATGTGGTAGTTGAGCCTGCAGTGTCCTGTTCGTAGACGGAAAATTGTTGTATGTTGCTTTTTGTTGAGTCTGCTGATGGGTGTTGTGAATGTTTACGGTTAGTTTGTTCTCTCCACAGTTCCTTGTATTTTCCCTTGATAAGTGTTCTGATTTCTGGTAATGACAATGGATGGGTGTGTTGTTTCTCCTTTGTTCCATTTTCAGCAAATCTGTCTGCTAACTCATTTCCCGTTATGCCGGGATCCAATTAAGAATGATTTGATTGTTTTCTGTGAGTCTGTTTAACTGTCGGGTCAGCTCTCTTTTTCTCTCCATGTTGTCTCGAGGATCGCTTTGAGTTGCCTGGAGGACTGACAAGAAGACACAGAGGAAAACAATGTTGCTGTGTTTGATTTTTCTTTCCTGGAGCACTTTGGCTTAATCAATAATTGCTTGCTGCTCTGCTCTAAAGTTTGTTGAGAGTCTTCCGGAGGCGCAGGATGTTTCTGCTGTGGTCTTATCTTGCAGCATGATGATCGACCCAGCTCATCTATTTGTTTCTGCTCCCTTCAATGATCCATCGGTGTATACGTGTGCCCATTCCGGGTTTTGGATAACAGTTGTAGACATGTTCAAGGGTCTTTACAAGCAGTTCTAGGTCACATTTTTCAGCCTTTCTGTCTATGCCTGGAATTGTTGTTGTGACTGTATTGTAGACTGTAGGTCTATGCTGTATGTCTGGATCATTTCCCATGTTGAAGGATCTTTAGAAAGGATGTCACTATTTTGTATGTAGTACAATTTTGATAGATGGTGGAAGCTTTGTCTTTTCAGTCGGTTTTTAGTTTTTTTTTTGTTTGTTTTTTGGCTTTTCTGTGCATTAGACTGTTGTTCACGTGTTTAAATTTTTCTGTTACGGCAAATACCTTTTTTTTTCCTTCGAAGGCTCAAGCTCTGGAGGCCAGAAGTGGCCTCCAATTCATGGATTGGTGTGCTTCTCATACCTCCAGTGATGATTCTGAGGCCAGTGTTCTGTTTTTGTCCAGTATATGTAAGTTTGATTTGGCTGCAGTAGAGTATGCTCCCATGCCATACTCCAGTTTTGGTCATACGTATCCTGTCTATTCTTGTCGTACAGTGTTGGTATCTGCACCCCAGCCTTTCCAGTACGTTTCTTCATAAGTTTAAGCCACATGCAGCCTTCCCTTTGGATGTCTTCAATGTGGGGGCCCCAGGTTATACTTTTGTCGAATTTTACTCCCAAATATGTGGGGTTTTCGTCTTTTGGAAGGATGTTGCCTTCCAGGTACAGATCAACTTGTTCTGGCTTTGTGGACAAAGAGAAGAGAGTTGAGACGCTTTTTGTCTGGTTTATTGTGACTCCCCAAGAGTCTGTCAGTTTCTTAACTGTATTTATAGCTTCCTGCATTCTTGTTTTAGTTGTTCCTATATGTTCAGCTTGGGTCCATATGGCCAGGTCACCTGCGTTTACGGCCTTGTGCATGTGAGGAATGAACTGTTTAGAGAGGTTATTGATGAAGAGAATAAAGAGGGTAGGAAATATAACACATCCCTGGGGAACACCTTCTTGTAATCTGACCAGCTTGCTCTTGTGTTCTTCCAGTCTGACTGCCTCACAGCGTCTGTAAAAAAATTCTCTAATCCAGGCAAACATATGCCATTTTTTCCCACTGTGTGCTAGTTTCAACAAGAGTCCTTTCTTTCAGACCTTATCAAAGGCTTTGGTCAAGTCGAAGAAAGCAGCTAGATGTTTTTATTTTTTCTAGAAAGAATCTTCAACTTTCTGTTGACATGACACAGAAACACACGATACCGCATCAAGTTATATTAGTGACTGGATACAGGAACAGAACACTTGATATAATAACCAGTGAAGTCATATACAAGTGAGTGACTTACGAGGACATGGCTGTTCGTTACATTCTTTTTGCTCATAAGCACTGCCCTCGCAGGGTTTCCCGCCAAAAAACTGCCCACGACATTCCCTCTGTCTGCTCATCAGACCGATCCCACAAGCTTTGGTGCACCTGCTCCATCCCATCCACACTGACCAGATCCCATCCTCTGAAAGGTAAATGTTCAATGCCACATCTGTATGAATGTTCTAGCCGAGAACAAAGGTAAATGTTTACTGTAGCATTTGTATAAATGTTGAGGGCAATGAGAAAGACAAATGTACACTGTCACGTTTGTGAAAATGTTGAGGGCAAGGAGAAAGACAAATGTACACTGTCACGTTTGTGAAAATGTTGAGGGCAAGGAGAAAGACAAATGTACACTGACACGTTTGTGAAAATGTTGAGGGTGAGGAGAAAGACAAATGTACACTGTCACGTTTGTGAAAATGTTGAGGGCAAGGAGAAAGACAAATGTACACTGTCACGTTTGTGAAAATGTTGAGGGTGAGGAGAAAGGTAAATGTTCACTGTCACGTTTGTGAAAATGTTGAGGGCGAAGAGAAAGACAAATGTACACTGTCACGTTTGTGAAAATGTTGAGGGTGAGGAGAAAGACAAATGTACACTGTCACGTTTGTGAAAATGTTGAGGGCAAGGAGAAAGACAAATGTACACTGTCACGTTTGTGAAAATGTTGAGGGTGAGGAGAAAGGTAAATGTTCACTGTCACGTTTGTGAAAATGTTGAGGGCGAAGAGAAAGACAAATGTACACTGTCACGTTTGTGAAAATGTTGAGGGTGAGGAGAAAGGTAAATGTTGAATGTCACGTTTGGGAAAATGTTAAGGGCGTGAAAAAAGATAAATTTTGAATGCCATGTTTGGAAAAATGTTGAGGGCGTGAAAAAAGATAAATTTTGAATGCCATGTTTGTTAAAATGTTGAGGACGTGAAGAAAGGTAAATGTTGAATGTCACCTTTGTTAAAATGTTGAGGGCGTGTCGCGCGCCCACGTGGGTAAATACACTGATATAGTGAGGGTGTGGGTTTGATCCTTAACAATGCCCACCCACGTGAGAAACTGGACTAATATCTAAGCTATGTTGATCCTAGACAGTCCTGGATAGCCAAGAAAACAGCGAGTGGCTCGTTCCATGAAATGAAAGTTGCTGTACTTGTATCCACAGGAGTAGGAGACGGGATAGATAGAGATCAAGATGAACCCACTGAGATAATATCAGGATACTCAGTTAACCCCTCCGACTGTTCTCCTCTCCTGGCATTACTTAAAAGCCCCCATCAAGTGATTTAAATATTTGTTAGCTGAAGTAAACTAATATGCACAAAGACACTTGAACCTAAGTACACAATTTACTCAACTATTTTGTAACAACATCAAACATGATTTATTTGAATAAATCGAAATTAAAATGAACTTGTTTAGTCTAGTAGAGTTGAGGGAGTGTGATTGATGACGAAATTATATATGGGAAAGTAACAACCTTTGGACAGTTCTCGGCTTGAGACCCTGCCTATTCTTTTCCAGTTTGTCGTCCTCACTGCTTTCAAGCAGGTCGTTACACTCAGACTGTCGGCAAAGAATGGATGCCTACTAGTCCCTGCCCAATGTGGGAACTGTGATAAAGAAACAAGCGCATATCTGTAGTAACTGCTCTAGGTGTACACTAAGCATGTATATTATAATAACATCAAGCATGTTTATTTAAATAAAAAATTTCATCTCTCCCTCATGTTCACATTCACTCCTGTCCAATTTGGAAGGGCTTATGTCTCACATTCCACCCGTTACATTTACTGCCTTCCTCTACACAAGTCCTGTAATGATAGTCAAGTCTTCTACGTCATAAGCCATCTCTCGTACAGACTCAAATGACAATCAGTCAGACAGAACAAGTTCTGGAATCCATGGTTGGAACAATGGTCCGGGATTAATCTCCGCATTAGCCTCCCGGGAGTTAAACACATTTCAGTGTGTTAGCTGTATGTAATACAGATTAACATTAACCACACGTGACAAGATTGCCAAAGTTATCTTTACGTTTGTGATTTCAAAAACATGATAGTTCATTAAATTTCAATGGTAACATCAACATTAAAGTTTTACAACATTGAAGCACATGTGCACGAAAAACATTCATGACACTATCAAAGAGGATATAAAGCAATGTGACAGTGCCCTAAGAGAATGAAGAATTGTCCGCCTAGGAGTACTACAAAGTGATGAAGACACACACTTGAGTAAAAAGACAGTTAGATCTCTATCATAAATAAAATAAAGGTTTTGAAACTAATTTCGTTCTTACCTGGAAAATGAAACCACAATGCCAAAAGTTCTGTCTCAAGCTTAGGTTAAGCCCAACAGATGGCATGTGCTGGACAGAGTCTCATTTACCAGACCTAGAGTTCACCCCTTTATAACCTTTATCAAGCTCCTCCTAAATGACTCCTAAAATCATTCTCATTCAAGGATGTCACAGCTCCTCCCTGTGGGTGTATATTCACTGTCAGTCAGTGAGTGTACAACAATTGTTTGAATTCCCACGCTAGGATCTCCTGGTCAATTCATATGACCAGAGCAAATAGGACAAGTCACACCTTCAGCCTACTTCACCTGCCATCACAATAAAATCAGACGGTGTCAATTCTTCTGTTAACACTTTCTGCTCACCATGTCAATAGTGACCGTCGGACCTGCCCTCGAGTTAGGTAACCTAAGTGGGAATTAAACACAATTAGCCGGAGTTATCTGCTCCTAAAAGTCTGGCTAGGAGATAAATATCTGACACCAACAGATGGTGTGCAAATCTGCAGACAGTAAGTCTAAGCTTGGCCAGTCTTATCTCTGTACGTTAACACTTAACATCTCGGAAAGAGTCTTAGTGTTTGATATTACCAACAGTCCAGGAAAATTAAATGCTTGTTCGGGTCGCCTTACTTAGATTAGGGATGTATCCAAAACCATTTATTTCTGTATACTTCGAAACACAAAGGAATAAAAGTAGGTTAAGGAAAGACATTCTGAAGTCACCGAGCGTATTGTCACAGGGCGAGAGGAATCATAACATTGGGTTTAAAGGCAGAAATAAAGTAATAATTTTAAAGACATGACACATTCAAAGCTTGACTCTAAGTACCTCAAATCACATTTCCTGGTACCCACATCTGGTACTTCTTGGTCATTTCAGTGTAAAGTGAATGACAAAAAGAAACAATAATTAACACCACAGAACGTGGGACATTTCTCAAAAGCCAAAGTCCATATACTCATGGTGCCAGTTCTACCAGATTAGAAGTTTCACCTCTTTTTCGCATGCAGATAGCAAATCGTCCAGTTCATTTTTTTTTAAATTCCACAGTGTGGATTTAAACCCATGCCCACCGGACAAATAGGCAAGCATGCGAGCTACTGCAACTCATCACGTCTTTAGGGATAAAAGAGTACACAACAGAATAATAGTACATGCAGATTGTTTTATGAATCTAAATTACCAGACCAAACGATGGCAAGGAAAAACTCACGCGGGCAATCCGGGAAGATCTCATGGGTACATGGGAACGTCTGGGTGGAAGTATATGGATCCTTGCTAGGTGGGTCATTAGGTCCAGGGATCCAGACACGCTCCATGCTTGTGGTGCCTAGCCCACAGGTCACGCTGCAGGGACTCATGGCACCCCATGAACCCCAGTGTCCTTCCTTGGTATCTTCAGCTGAGGATGCAAATAAATTTATCAACAGATGACTGTCATTTGTGTTTTGTATGAACATGTAAATAAAAAACTCCAAGTTACCGTAAAGCATATATGTTAAACGGTTTCTCTGTTGGATTTCAGGCCTAGTGTCACATTCTCAGTTCTGCTTTTCTTGTACTTGCTTATATTGTTATTGTTGTCCCTTTGTGTTGCTGATGTTGTTGTTGTTGTTATTCATCTTTTTCTTCTTTCTATCCCTTTTTTTAAAACGAAGGGAAGCTATTTAACGTGTGACATCGTAAAAGAGCGTGCGCGCGTGCGTTTGTTTGTGTATGTGTGTATGTGTGTATGTGTGTATGTGTGTATGTGTGTGTGCTTTGGTTTAATAATAAAGTCACAGGTGTGTGACAGCAAACATAAATATTATCGGGGGTTGCCAAACTGAATTAAGAAAACAGAGACACATAACAACAACAACAACAACAACAATGGTCTTTATATATAGTTTTTTTTTTTTTTTAATAAATAGAACGAAAGTGCCACTTTGAGATGTCAATCATAACACACATCACAATTGAAAAAGACACAACACAGAAGATATTAACAATTTCCAAGCAAGAAAATTATGTCCCTCCCCCCTCCACCCCCCACCTCAACCCTCCCAACCCCGAATCCAACTACTGTAGCAGGTTTTAACTGATGTTTCACTTACCGCTGATGACTAAACATGCGACCAGCAACTCTATACTCAGTATCACACATATGCTAGCGAAATCCATGTTTCTGAAACAAAAATCAGCAGAAATATCTCAATTCACACGTCACAAACAGATACTGAGAGTTCATATGTCATCTCGTAACGCCTACTAATTATACACACACAAAGTACACTTTGCTGGTAGGAGCAGATCCCTACTGATTTACATGGTAGACGAGAAAGAAACCCAACTGGAACAGTATTTTTGACGGCCGGTGTAATGCTGACCTCATTACCCACCTAGTGCCGATTTGTCTGTAATAACATGGGTTCTTTTCCCATATGCCCGATGCGCCTCAGGGGATCTTTACTCTATACTTATTTGATAATCTAACAATGTAACAAAGATTCGATTAATCTGTAATATTTCTCCATGTGTGTTTTCCACCTTCGGCTACAACCTGATAGCAATCACTGTTTAACCTTTATATTCACAACACCTTTTGTTGCACCTTTCAGTCTTTCCAGACGATAGTGTTACACTCCGCTATAGAGGACGCATATGAATCATAACTCATGGCGACGGTGAGTGTGATGACTAGGAAGACCTGCCCGCGTTAAGAAACGTCTTCCAATATTAGAGCGTGGGATTTCAGGACCCGTGTTGCCATCACGTGTTTAGAGTGTTTCTTTTTAGACTCTCACCTCTCATTCTTTTTGCAATCATTTGTTGCTTCATTCTCATTCCCTTCCTGGATTGTTTCCTGCACGTAACACAGTCTACGGCATTTCGCACCAACAAATCTACCTCAATATCAGTGTAATTCATGTCCCGCTGCATACATATGTATATAATAGTAAAGACCGGCCTCTGCATCTTCTACCCGTGTTTAGTTATTATTATGTCAACATCATGTAACAGGTCATTTGCAGAATGTCGCTCTCTTCACAGTCTGCCTGAAAGAAACTCGGTCTCTCGCCAGTTCTCCCGCCTCATGTACTTTCATACTCAGGGAGTCACTTATATCCTGTGCCCATTTTCGTGTCCGTCGGTCCCTGCCCCTCCTTCCTGGTACCATGCCTTCTGCTATAATTGTTTTCCAACCCGTCGTGGCGCTTAATATGACCAAAATATTTCAGCTTCCGAGAAAGAATGCTGTTTATTAGCCAATCTTCCTTGATGTTCAGATCTTTTAAGATGTATTATGTATTATTATTATTATTGTTATTATTATTATTATTATTATTATTATTATTATTATGTATTGTGTATTTTTATATATTATTATTACTATTATTGCGTATTATATTATTATCATGTATGTTGATAAAATCACGAACGTGGAGCTTTGGGAGATAACAAATTCCAGTAACTCCAGAAGTGAGGACAAATCATTGCCATCGGATAAGATACTAATAAAGTTAAGGACCCTTGCACATTGACTAGATCTGAATATAATAGCCCAAATCGTCAATCGGTGGTTGATGTGGTCAAAATAAAACTGGCCTTTTACTTCCCAGAACTTGACTTGGTACCCATTGTAGGCTAGGTCGACATGGGAGGCAAGACCATTTTTAGAAGGGAAAAAAAAAATTCGACTCTATGAATTTGCATCTACGATCTGTGTAGATTTAACAGACACCGAGAAAATACAAGAGGGCCGTGTGGTCTCGGGGCATGGCGGCCGCCTTGAGTGCTGGAGAACCGGGTTCAGGTCCCGGTGAAGGCTAGAATTTTTTCACTTGGACTTTCAGTAATTTCCCCTGGTCTCTGGATATTGAAATAGGAAGCCTGTGTGTAGTGTTGAGCACGCAAACATCCTTTGGCAGTTGGAAATCGAAAAAAGTAGCCTAACAGCGCTGTCCAGGCTACATTTGAAGTTGAAAATCTACACAAAGTATTTCAGGATCCTCGCCGGTCAACGGAGTTTGTGAACTGCGCTGAGCTGCTTCAAAATTAGACGAGTAAAGAGAAGAACGAAGCACTTATGGGTTACACCCGGGTGCCATGATGTTGACCCGGTGAAAAATCCAACAAATCAATTAGAAAACTTGGTATAACAATAATCTACTGGAACCCACATAGTAAAAGCAACACAGTCAGAAGCAAATCACAAGGAGAAAGGAATTAGAGAACATTCTAAACAAATACGAGTACTTGGGGCGAGCTGCACGGTTGGGCAAAAGCCAGAAGGACTTGCTGCTTTTTGTTTAGAGCTTAAGCTCTGCTGGAGTATAAATAGCAGCATAGGAAGGGAAGCAAAGGAACATATAACCAGCAGCCTGTAACTAGTTCATATTGATTTCTTACACTTTCCACCTTGACCATATTAACAACAATACAACCGAGAAAATAACATCGCCTTTTTATGTAACACCTGCCACTTTCAGGGCTATTTCCGACGCCACCTCTGCCACCACACACAGCTACAACAACGTCCGGGATCTTCCCTAATAAGCCTAGCAAGAACGGAGCTGACAGGCAGCAATTTCCGCTCACTTTAATGAGCTCCAATCAAATACTTGCCCGCCATTCCATAAACTTGTGTTAGAGTTATTGCCCTTGTTTGTCTCGGTCTTTATCTGTCATCACCTTCTTCTTCTTTCTTTAATAGGGTGGTTGGAACTTTTTGTTTTAGTTTGCAACTGGGCTGTGATATCTACGTCTTTAGGCCTAAACATCTGATCCCAGCAATTTGAATTTTTTTTTTAAAGGGGCAATTGGTTTATCTACGCTTTCCTACCCCACCCCATGGCACCCTTGAACTCACCCAGGGAAGTGTATCTCTTCCTTTCTCTTTGTGTGTTTGTTTAACATTTCCTGACGAAAACATACCAGCCAGGTGCTAAAAATAAAAATGAAACTCGGAAAGACATAAACTATGAGAAATTTAAAAGCAAAATGGTTTTCCTGCATGGTTTTCGTCTTTATCAGAGCGGCTGTTCGCCCGTCGACAGATTTTGCACAAAGCTCCCTAGCTTTACTAATGATATTTAAGAATCACCGAAAATATATATGCTGACGAACTGCAAGAAGAAGTCCGAAACCATCTTCAAAGAGCGTAAACAGTTGAAACAAATAACTACTGAGATCCATATACATTGAATAAAATAAACAGGTTGAGAGACAGTCAGGTAGATAAGTAAGATGTAGACAGGCAGGCATGTAACTGGTCTAAGCAGACATGCGGGTAGACACTAGTGTGTGTGTGTGTGTGTGTGTGTGTGTGTGTGTAAATGTGTAGGTATATTTGCGTATATATATATATATGTGTGTGTGTGTGTGCGCGCGCGCGCGCATGTGTCATTGTTTAATCGGCTATTGTACATAGAATGTTCTACGTGACGCGAGATTTGTTTTCAGCAAATACGGTCATTATGGCTACCGAAACAGACGAAGGCTGTCGGCCGAAACGTTACGTTATTTGTTATGTGTGTGTGTGTTTTTTTTTCTCCCAATTTGGTTAAGTTTTTAGTCAAATTTCACATGAAATTCCCTGTACTGGCTTGACTGCAGTCACCCCCATATTTTCATCATTTTTTTTTTAGCTATAAACACCTCGCGACACAAAGTGTCACCATTCCCATGAGGATAACCGGGGACAGGTCCCATAAACAGCCAGAGTGGGGATTGAAAATAACTAAAAATTGAGCCTCATACTATGGCGGTATTATAATGCATGTGAGAGTAAGCAAATGCTGAAGGATTGAAATAAAAAAGACATCTTGAAATGAATAACATTTTTTGAAACGCCTAGTACTGTCAGATAAGTGCTAAGGCAGTCAAATATGACATAAAACATTGAGTGCATTAACACATGAAACGGTAGTTAGAATAAATAGGGGAACATCCAATAAATTCAAAGTAACACCTGGAGTAAGAAATAGATGTGTTTTATCACCACTCCTGTTTATCACCTACATTCACAGTCTAAGCACTATTCACTCAAGATGGTAAACTGGACGAAGAAATTGACATCCAAGGCCAAGTATCGGGACAGCTAGTCCCCTCTTACAGCATTTAGGACAGAGAAATATCTCAAACAAAGCCTATTCATTCCCACCCTATGCTACCAGTGCTAGACATGGTCATTCAAAACAAAACATAAAAGAAAAGTAGTAACCATGGAAATGAGGCCCATGAGAACGACTAGGAAAGACCAAAAAAGATAAAATAAAAAAAATGAGGTCATACGACATAAAGCTGGCCAGAACCAATTTTAAACTGCATACAAAGACAGCAAATCAATTGGTTCGCCCACTTGGAAAGAATGCCTTCTGATGCAATACCATAGAAGGTATTTAATAAACGAGGAGAGGGACGTACAGCAAGAGGTAGTCCAAGAACAAAATAGGAACATAACATCAGAAAAACTCGATGTGTCTATGGTCGAAGTAGCCAGAAACATGAAACAGGAACGTTTATCTTCCTCAACACCCGAAGCGGTAAAACAGAAGGTAAAGAAGAAGATCTATCTATCTTCTTTTACCCCACCAGGACATCACGCAGCGATAAACAGCCGATGACACAAAGTGCCACTATGTGGATGAGGATCACCCGTGGAGAGGTCTCAGAAACCGCGTTAAGCCATTAGACCATATTTTGGGCCATGCTATATTGCGGGCTCTGGCAAGAGCCGGAGTAGGGCTTCAAATAACAAAAAAATAGCACCCCACGGGGGATGACAAGAGATTCGGTAGATTGCTACTTATCAGCATAGCAACAAAATGTTTGTGCGAGCTTGTACTCAACAAGAAAAAGCCACAGCGGCTTCTTTGCATGTTTCGTGATATTAGCTAAAAAGAAGCGGTTTTTCACTGACTCAGAAACCGTGAAAGAATGCATACTTGCAATTCTAGACAAAATAGCAGTTGATGATAAAATAAAAACATGCAGTTCAGCAAATCCCTATGCGGATACTTCGACGATACGCAGAATCAAAATTCTAGGAACTGAAGTTTTTGAAACTTTAATTGAAAACATAAAGAAGGCAGAATTTTTTTCAATTGCCATTAACGAATCTACAGATATCATAGACGTGGCTCAGTTATGTTTATATGTGCGTTTTTTTTTTTTTTTTC